CCCCCGCCTGGCAGGGAAGGCGGCTTGAGGCGCCGGCGCGTAGGCTTGAGAGAGGGTCGTGAGGGGTCGCTAGGGCGTGGCGGCGGGAGGGACCCCCTTGGCGCGGGGGCGCGCGGGGAGATGACGGGGCCGGGGGTACCTTGGCCTGCCGCTGGGCGCTCATCGCTGGGCACCCAGTCCCGGGACGAGATGGGGCACGCCTTCCGGAGGGTCTTTGGGGCCACCGGATCCCGGCGGCAGGGAGGACTGAGTTGTGCACGTGGGGGCCTGGTGTGGTACTTTATTCCCCAAATACTGAGCGCTCGGTGCCGGACGGTGTTGCGGAAGCAGGGGCTGCCGCACGAACTAGTGAGAGAAGGACAGGACAGAAGGGTCGGCGGGCCCGTAGTCAGGAGCAACGGGGAAGCAGCGCTTTCGGGCCCTGATGCCTGGGCCGAAGGCAGCCACGTAAAGAGAAACCCGGGCAGCGGGACCGTCATGTGCCAAGGCCCTGAGGTCGGAAGGGAGCAGGTGAGGGTGGGGACGAGGTGGGGAAGCAGATCCCGTAGGGCAGTGGTTCTCAACCTTCTGGCCCTTTAAATACAGTTCCTCATATTGTGGTGACCCCCAACCATAAAATTATTTTCGTTGCTACTTCACAACCGTAATTTTGCTACTGTTATGAATCGTCATGTAAATATCTGATACGCTATATGTGTTTTCCGGTGGTCGCGACCCACAGGTTGAGAACCGCTGCCGTAGGGCCTTGTGAACCTTGCTGGGGGGTTTGGCTCCTATTCCGGGTTCAGCGGGGCGTCGTGGGAGGTTGTCAGCGTTGGAGCCACGTGACCCCGCCCTGCGATTTGAGAAGCTGGCGGGGGTGGTGGGGGGGGAGAAGATGGAATGGTGGCTGGAGGGAAGGAGGGAGACCAGCCGGGAGGCAAGCCGCTGGAAGGAACCTGTCAGGCTCGGGTTGTCTGTGGGGTTTGAGGCAGCAGGACGCGGGGCTGGATGAAGAAGGCTGAGGGAGAGCGGGTCTGGGGGCGCCGCTCTGCAGGCAGAGGTTTCAGCGGTTCTCAACCTGTGGGTCGCAAACAATGAAAATACATCCTGCGCATTAGATATTTACTTGACGATTCATAACAGTAGCAACATTACGGTGATGAAGTCGCAACGAAAATAATTGTATGGTTGGGGGTCACCACAACATGAGGAGCTGTATTTAAGGGTCGTGGCATTAGGAAGGTTGAGAACCACTGGGATGGGGTGAGGGTTTAGAGAGGGCAGGGTGACGTCAGTGTCCTGGCTTTGCAGCCCCACCTACTCCAAGAATCTGTTGTTGCCACATCCCCCCCCCCCCTTCCTACACATCCCCACCCAGGCCTCCCATCTCTTAGGTTCCTTGGGGGGGGGGGTTGCCACACCCGTCCCTCCTGCTGCAATGCTCTTCCCTTGCTTCAGGCCTCCAGGCAGCTGCTCTGGCAGGCCCTCTGCTGGGCAGGAGGGAACCGGTGATAATTCAGTTCAGGTGGGAGAAGGACAGGAGCTGTCCACCCTGGCCGAGGAGCTGGGACTCAGGGAAGACTCACAGGGTAGGGACACTCGAGAGCAGTCTAAACTGGCCCTGTGCTGGGGACCCCAACTTGAGCGAGACCCTGACCCTATTTGGGGGAGCTCGCAGCCTGAAGCACTCCCATTTTGGGGTGCACGTGTGCAATGACAGAAGTGGCACAAGGCGCTGTGGGAGCCCCGAGGGGGCAGAGGGTCCGTCTGGAGTGAGGTGGCCGAGAAAAAGGAGGGTTTCGTTCAGCAAACACTTCCCAAGGCCACGCCCTGTGCTGGGCCCTGCCTTGCCCTCTGAGGGGTCCCTGTCTGAGACACGGCCCGATGGTCCCGGCATGACAAGGGCAGCAGGAGGCGGGGAGGCCCGGGCTCTGCCCTGTGTACCTTACCCGGTGCGCCCGGAGGCCGGCATTCTGGAGTCCTGGTTAGCCGAAGGCTCCGCAGTCTGCCTGCCTGGCTGGGACCCTGGCTTCCCCTCTGAGCTACCTGTGCCGCCTTGGGCAGGTAGCGTCCCCTCTCTGGGCCTGGCTCCCAGTAATTGTATGTGTTGGAGGGTAACGACAGCACCTCCCTCCGAAGTTTTTGTGACAATTCCACGAGTGCCCTCCTTCCTTCTTTTAGAAGCTGTTTATTGAGTGTGTCCTCTGTCCCAGGCGCTTGGCAGGGTGCATGAGACACAGCAGGAAACAAAAGATCTAGTCCCTGCTCTCAGAACTCCCGTTCTCCCTGTGGGGACAGGCAGGAAGTGAGACCGATAAGCCGTGGTTCTCAGACTTGAGTGCCGAGGGCCGGATTCAGTGGATCCGGGCAGCGGCCCGACCGTTAGCATTGCAACCAGTTCCCACCCAGGCCTCAGGCTGCTAATCCAGGGGCCGCACTTGGAGAACTCGGAGAACTGATACAGGGCACCAGACAGTCACAAGTGGCAGCAAGAAAAATAAAGCGGGGAAAGGGGTTGGAGGTGTCGGGATGGGGCGGCGGGGCTGCACTTTTAAACAGGCCTCACTGAGACTGACATTTGAACAAAGACCGGAAGGAGGGCAGGGAGGACGCCATAGCGCCATCTGGGGGAGAACATTTGGCCGGGCAGCGGGAGCAGCCTGTGCAAAGGTCCTGAGGCAGGGACTAAGCCTGGCGTGCTTCAGGAGCAGAGAGGAGGCAAGTGGCTGGAGCCGAGTGAGGGGGGGGGAGTGGGAGGTGGTGTCTGAAAGGAAACTAGGCAATTGTGCAGGGGGCCCCCGATTGGTCTTGGGGGCCATGATGAGGACTTTAACTCAGCATGAGACGGGCCCCAGGGGTGGGCTCTGAGCAGAGGAGTGGGCTGATCTGACATATTTGTACAGGATCCTGCTGACTGCTGTGTGGAGAATACACTGAGTGGGGCAGGGTGGAATGAGGGAGCCCTGGAAAGGCTCTTTACTCATTCAACAGGTATTTCTTTTTACTTTTTTAAAAATATTTTATTGATTTTTTTACAGAGAGGAAGGGAGAGGGATAGAGAGTTAGAAATATCGATGAGAGAAACATCAATCACCTGCCTCCTGCACACTCCCTACTGGGGATGTGCCCACAACCAAGGTACATGCCCTTGACCGGAATCGAACCTGGGACCTCTCAGTCCGCAGGGCAATGCTCTATCCACTGAGCCAAACTGGTTAGGGCTCAACAGGTATTTCTCGAGGATCCTCTCTGTGTCCGACACTAGTAGACTCCTGCCGTATTTCAGTAAACAAACGGACGGGTCCTGGCCCTCACAGCTCATCTTCCAGCAGGGGGAGACAGACCAACAGCAATGTGCAAAATAAAGAAGCCAGCAACAGTCTTAGGGAACAGAGGGGCCAGGCTGGTAGCTGGGGGCTGAGAAGCTGTGGGACTTAGGTCTCTTAGGAGGCAGAGCTGACGGGATTTGCAGAGAGAGTGAACATGTGGTCTGAGGGGAAGAGAGAAGTCGAGGTGACCCCCACAGTAGTTGGCCTGATGGGAGCTGTCATTTGTTGAATGGGGGAGACAGTCCATGAGGTGCAAGGAGCAGGTTTGGGGCGAGATCGGGGGCTAGCTTTGGAGTCTGAGGTGCCCGGAGAGACGTCCCCAAAGTGGGCAGCTGGACCGGTCAGCCTGGAGCCCAAGGAGCGGTCGGGGCCAGAGACACAAAGGCAGGAGTGATCGGCATGGGGATGGCATTTAAAGCCACGAGGTTGGCCCTGGCTGGTGTGGCACGGTGGTTGGAGCATCCTCCCGTGCACCAAAAGGCTGTGGGTTCAATTCCCATCGGGGCACGTACCCAGGTTGCGGGTTCGATCCCTGGTTGGGGTGCATAGAAGAGGCAACCGATGGATGTTTCTCTTTTACATCGAAGCTTCTCTTTCTCCCTCTCCCTTTCTCGATCTCTAAAAGCCAGGGCAATGCTCTCACACGCACACGCACACGCACACGCACATGCGCACACACACACACACGCACACACACACACACACACGCACGCACGCACGCACGCACATGCACACACTGCCGTGCAATTAGGTGAAGTGCAGTGAGAACACCGAGGGAGTGTGGGTCACAGAGAAACCAGCACCTGACCCAGAGCGGGCACTCCACGTTCTGTTACCTCCGCGGGCGCTGCTCCGGAGCTGCTACCGAAGGGCCGAGAAGGGAGTAGAGTTTGCCAGGCTCCCGTCTGGTGCCAGGGCAGCTGAGGGAACACACGGGGGCCTCCTTCCTCTGACGCTGCCTTGCCTGAGCGTGCATTTAGGATGGTGCCTGGGATAGGGACCTCGATTTTGCTGCTAGTGACACCTTCCCTCCCGTCACACTCCGCTGGCCACAGCCCCTGGACCCAGGGCAGCCCCCTTGTGCCTGTCTCTGCCAGGCCAGGCCAGGCCTCTCCTCCGGGCTCCTGTAAGCCCCTCAGCTTCCCGTGTCCCGCACTTTCTTAAACAACTTTTTTTTTTGATATATTTTATTGATTTTTTACAGAGAAGAAGGGAGAGGGATAGAGAGTTAGAAACATCAATGAGAGAGAAACATCGATCAGCTGCCTCCTGCACACCCCCTACTGGGAATGTGCCCGCAACCAAGGTACATGCCCTTGACCGGAATCGAACCCGGGACCCCTCAGTCCTCAGGCCGATGCTCTATCCACTGAGCCGAACCGGTTCAGCTTAAACAACTTTTTGAGTCCAAAAGGTAACACTCTAAGTCCACCCTTCTGTACCTAGCTTCCGCTCCCTAACAATGCGTCTTTGAGAGCCCTCCAGGTCAGCACACAGAGCGCTTCCTCATTCCTTTATCCAGCTGCATAATATTCCACGGGGCGGAATTAATGGGATTTATTCAAACAGTCCCCCAGGGGAGAACATTTAGGTGGTTTCCAGTCTTTTGAGATGGCAAACAATGCTGCCGGAAATAACCTCATAAATGCAGTTTTTCATCGTGTGATAGTATATCTGCAGCATAAACCCCTGGATGTGGGATTATGGCCGCCCCCCCTTTTATGTTTTTAATTGAGGTCTGATTTACATAAAGTGGCATGCACGGTCTCGAGCGTACAGTTGGATGTACAGTATGTTGCTATCACCCCAGAAAATTCCCCCATGCCCCTCCCCAGTCAGTCTCTCCCACCAGAAGCAGCCGCTAGCCTGGTCTCTAACATCAGAGGTCAGTCAATTCTAGAACCCTGTGTAATGCCGTCATACAGTATATACTCAGTTTTTAAAAATTGATGTGGAGTGTCGGCCTGTGCACTAAAAGGTCGCAGGCTCGATATCTGGTCCAGACACGTACCTGGGTTGGGGTTTGCTCCCCACCCCAATCAGGGAGCGTGCGGAAGGCACCAGTCGATGTGTCTCTCTCGCATCAATGTTTCTCTCTCCCTCCCTCCTTTCTCTGAAGAGCAATGGAAAAAATATCCTCAGGTGAAGATTAACAAAAAAGGAAAGAAAATTGAGGTGAAATTAACTATCTTAAAGCGCACAGCCAGTGGCATTTAGGCCATTCACAGCCTTGTGCAGCCACCACCTCTCTAGTTCTAGAACATTCCCATTATCCCAGAATGGAAGAACATTCCCCTTCCCATTTGCAGTCACTCCCACCTTCCCCATGTGCACTCATGTGTCTGGCTTCTCTTACACGTTTGAGATACGTCCATCCTGTGTGTATATCAGTAGCTGCCTCTTTATACACACACACACACACACACACACACACACATATTTTATTGGTTTCTCCACAGAGAGGAAGCGAGAGGGACAGAGAGCCAGAAACATCGATGAGAGAGTAACATCGATCAGCTGCCTCCCGCACACCCCCCACTGGTGACGTGCCCACAACCAAGGCCCATGCCCCTGACCAGAATCGAACCTGGGACCCTCCAGTCCTCTGGCCGACGCTCCATCCACTGAGCCAAACCGGTCAGGGCAGCTGCCTCCTTTTTAATGCTGAGAGATAATTCCATTGTGGGCCGACATTTGCTGTAACACACCCCGGTCCAGAATTTTTTGTGATGTCATGGTCTAGGCCAGTGGTTCTCAACCTTCTGGCCCTTTAAATACAGTTCCTCATGTTGTGACCCAACCATAACATTATTTTCGTTGCTACTTCATAACTGTAATGTTGCTACTGTTATGAATCGTCATGTAAATATCTGATATGCAGGATGGTCTTAGGCGACCCCTGTGAAAGGGTCCTTCGGCCGCCAAAGGGGTGGCAACCTGCAGGTTGAGAACCGCTGGTCTAGGCTAAACTCTGTAACAAAGAGGTTCCAAGCACAGTGGCCAGACAGGATACCAATCTGTGTAGCCACGCAACTATCCAAAGGCAGGCAGGTGTGCTCCAGAGGCTGTGAGGGCACAGGTTCCTTCCGTCTTGTCGCTCTGTGTGCCCTGCAAGGTTGCCCTTGTCCTGGTGGTCAAGGTTGGCTCATGGCCACCACATTCACGCTCCGGCCGCCTGGAAGGGGGAAGACAGAGGATGAAGGGCAGGCTTCCTCTTCGGGCTGTCCTGAACGTCGCACTCCTTACAGTCACCCTAAGTCCGTGAGCTAGAACTTGATCCTGTGACCTCCATCTAGCAGTGCATCCTGGGAAATGTAGTCTTGAGCTTGTCGGCTTCTGGTGCCTCCAAGGCGAAGGATGTGTTGCCAAAGAAAGGACCAAAGGGAGACTGGATCTGGGGGGTAGTTATGGGATCCGGAGGTGCTCCCTTGAAGCTGGGACAGCTGATTTGTCCCGAACCCCCTCCTCCCTCCCGTCTGGGGCTGGGATCTGCTGTAGGTTTCTGTAATCCTCTGTCTCAGCCACAGGAGACACGTACTGTTTTATAATTCCTCATTTCTTTCTCCCCCCCACCCCCCATCCCCTTCCTTCCCTTTTTCCTTTCATATTAATCCTCACTCAAGGATATTTTCCCATTGATTTTTAGAGACAGTGAAAGAGAGGGAGAGAGAGAAGCATTTATGTGAGAAAGACACATTGATTGGTTGCCACTCGCACGTGCCCCGGCTGGGGCTGGGGATCGAAGCTGCAGCTCAGGTACGTGTCCTTGACTGGGAATGGGTCCTGTGACCCCTCTGTGCACGGCCAGCACTATCCACTGAGGCACACCGGCTAGGGCTACAACTTTTTCTTTTTTAATAATTTCAAACGTATAGGAAGGTATACGACAAAGAACACTTGTTCACCCTTCACCCAGTGTCACCTGTTTTCACATTCTACCCTGTTTGTGTTATGATTTGCATGCACACTTTAAAAAAACACTTTCAGAGTAGCTTGTACACATCACGGCCATTTACCCCTGAATACCTGAGTGTGTGTTTCCTTAGACTGTTCTCTTCCTGAGCCACAGTGAAGTTACCAAATCGAATAGGCTTAACCTGAGTGCAGTCTTCAGTCTACCAGAGGATGTGTACCTTTATGTCAATATATCTTGTCAAGCCCTGGCCGGTTTGGCTCAGTGGGTAGAGCGTCAGCCTGTGGACCAAAGTGTCGCAGGTTTGATTCCAGTCAAGGGCACATACCTCTGTTGCAGGCTCCTCCCCACAGCCTCCCACGGGGGTGCGTACAGGGGGCAACCAATTGATGTTTCTCTCACATCAGTATTTCTCTCTGTCTCTCCCTCTCCCTTCCACTCTCTCTAAAAATCAATGGAAAAATATCCTCGGGTGAGGATTTAATAAATATATATATATTGTTAAAATAATGATTTCTGATAGGTTACAATTAAGAAGACCACACTGAGTGGCCAGGTTATTATGACCACCCCATCAGTACTGCATTGACACTTCCAAAAATACTGAATATTGAAAACTTCCTAAGCAGATACTCTCAAGGTTTTATTATTATTATTATTTGCATAACTAATTCACTTCATTGTACTGATGGGACGGTCGTAATAATCTGGCCACTCAGTGTAGAAACATACGTAAGTTATGATGGTGCGTGCATATTACATATGGGAGCAGCGGGAGTGAAAGCAGAGGTGGCGGTACCTTGCGGCCTGGGGAGGTGGGGAACGGTGTCCATTCAAAACAAACAGGGCTTTTGCTTTTGTGTTTAACGGGACGGGAGCCTGTGAAGTGTGTTCGGCTGGGACGGGACCTGGTCAGATTGGTGTTTCAGCCACTCGCGGGCGCCCAGCGCAGTGACTGGCCCAGAGGAGGCACCTCCCAGCCGCTTGGTGAACGGAGGCCGGGCCCGTGGGTGACGCTGGGTGATGGGTAGGCGAGGGTCTCGGGGCAGCTGGTAGGAATGAGAGGGGAGAGCTGAGGACCAAGGCTGTGCCAGAGAGGGGGCAGGGCGTGCGGGGCCGTGACATCCGGTCTGCAGGGGCAGGTGAACGGGTGAAAGGATGTGGAGGGCTCGGGGTGCGAGGAAAGGGTTAGACGGGTGGGAGTGGGCGTAGTTACACTGATGGTGACAGCGTCGGGGATGCACCAGCTCCTGTGAGCCCGCAGAGCTCTGAGGCTCAGCCGTGGGGGCGCGGGAGCCGTGGGGGGGACAGGAGCCCTCACCCAGCCCCCACTGGTCCTAAGTGCTGCAGCTCTCCTTGAGCTTCTTATGCCAACTTGGGCAGCCTGTGGGCTGTGATGTACTTTTAAAGTCGGCTTTACTATTTTCTGAAGCTTCCATAATGCAGCTCATGCTTCCTTGCTTTTGCTTGTGTTTTGGTCTCTGGGGCCGGGCCCCCAGGGGCTTCAGAAATGCCTGCCAACAGAAGCTCGTATTTTCAGTTGGCTGCCAGGCCCTCCTTCGGGAAACAGGGCCCCACTTCCTCCTGGGACTTCTGAGCCAGCATCCCAGGCCTCAGGTGCCTCCCTCCACACA